CTATTTGACTTGTCCTTCGTTCATGAAGCCTCGGTCTAACGATATTCGTGTCCCCGTGCTAAATGCATGGCGACGCATTAACGCGATCGTAAAAACTGTGTTTGACATGTAGTTAATACGTCCGGTGGTCCACAGAAGCGACGTGTCAGAAAGCCTTTATGATGTCTCATCTGATAAATTTTTTCTCAAGGTCTCATTTCCGGGAGAATGTAAAATTCAGTTTTTTATAAAACACAGATATGTGTTATATAAGTTTAATTGAAATAATTATCGATGAAAAAAATTATGAAATTACGAATAGAAAAAAATGTACTAAAGAATACATCGTGTATCTAATTAATTATATCTCGTAATGCCTTCTGTATGATTTACGCGATAACGAAATATAAAACAATAATTAATCAACCAATGTCTGAAATAGAAAGTTTGTTTAGTATTGTTTATGCAATTTGAAAACAATATATGTGATATATAAATTTATTACATTATGTATATAAATTTTAAGATTTTAATAAGTAAATGTGATTTTTAATTGCTTTTATATTATACATTATTAAAAAAGAGTAACTAAATATTTATATGTAAACTTATAAGGTTGCATTTGTTTAATATACTAAAGTCTAGTGTTATTTATTTTCTACTTCCTTTTTTTTTAGTCTACCTTTCGCATATTTTCAGAATTCTTTTCCGCTAAGGCCAATGCATTCGACACGGTTTTTTTGAAAAGAACATTGCCGTTACTCGATCGTTCCGTTTCGATGTACCATTCAATTCATTCTGCTGCTTAAAAACATTAAAGGGGCAAGACCTCCCGCGACTACCGGAATATTCATTACTCATTCGTTCATTCATTTCCCGTGCGTGTCCAATGCTTTTTCTTTCCGATTTTTTTTCACGTCTTGTCGGCTGTAAGAAAATTAATTAACAATAGAGAAACAAGAATATGCGGAAACGCAGAAGGAAAAGAAAAGACACCATTTACAAGCCACCCAAAGCGGGGTGTGAATGCTCGCTTTCCTCCTTTCTGTCTTTCTCACCGCTGAGATATCGTTTTTCCCTGTCGAGGGAGACGCGCAAGATGACTCAACAAATACAATCATCCACGGCTATTGTGGCGCTTCTCTCGCCGTCCTTTTTTCGCTCGTGCTAGTTTCGATCAGGTACAGCATCCAGTCAGAGAACCTGTGGTATCTCGACCCTCGACCACCCCAAGTTCACCTATCCCCACTACCTCGTCTCTTCCTGTGCGAGTTCTTTCGTGTTACACGGGAGATGGTATAATGAAACAGGCTTACTCGTTATACTTTATACTACATTCTCTCTTTCTTTCTGCCTCACGATGTTAAGGGTGCTGCCTGTTCGAACCTTGTCTTCTTTAATCATTCTCCGAGTTGTTTTTTTTTTGCGCTTTCTCTTTCAAGAAAGCGCCTCCTACCCTCGGATTAAAATATTCATACCGACCGACGGCGCTGCTGTTTAAATTTCATGAAATCGCATCGATCGCGGTCATTCCTCGTTACCTGTTAGCGAAAATTGTTGCGTAATTTATCAATCTAGTCTCTTTGATTGTATTGATTGTACTACTTTACCTCTACATTTTTGTTTCAAATGTCCTCGAATGTACACTTATTTCATTCAAAATGCAGGAAGTGAAAAAAGTAATTTTTCTCCTTGCGTGCGAATTGCAATATTGTGATGATGACCCACATGCATTAGAATATTGTTATACACATTGCTGTGAATAATTATGGGAATGGCATTGAAGAATTTATCGAGACGTCATTCTAGAATTATATCTATTATGTACTGTCATTGGCGTCATTCATTTATATCTGTGATCAACATTGAACAACTATTTCCTATACAGAGTAGTTTAAAATTTAAGCTAGATTCTCTTTTCAAATCAATAAATTGTAGGACAAATTAATTACAAAGCAAATTATTTATATATAGAAAAATAATTAAATTACTCAAGAAAACCTTTAATTATTATATTACATGATAACGTATACATTCTGAGAGTGAAGCCATAATAAAAACCGGTTATCAGTCCTGCAATAAACATGCTATCGCTTTTAAAAGAAAAACACGATACACTAATACGCAACTGGTGTTCGGAGAATTGATTTATGAATAGCGTTATCGATAGCAGACTCGATAAATATTATAACTTGTGATTATGGACTTAGAAAGTATTACGAGTGTATATTTCGATTAGCCGTTTGCATATGAATTGATTTTAAATGACTCGTTTTGTCGAGGCATTAAGTACATTATTCTCAACGAAATAGATTTAATTATAGAATTGAGACAAACTTCGAATCGTCAACGATTCGTAAAAAGACAGATATATCCTTTTTAGCATATATTTCATGTTAGTGTAAAAGTATAGTTTATTTTTTTACATACGAGATATTATATCTAAGACGTGATTTGTATCATTATTTACGGTGTGGAAGGTATGTCTCAAATTTGACAAAAGTCTTTAAGTTTAACTCCCTGGAATGTGTATTCAAGGCACGAAGCATGTTTACATTTTGACAAGGAAGTGACAAATTGCTGTCAAGCTTTGACAATCTGACGAAGGACTCAGGTACTCTTAACGACATTTATACATGCTTGTACATGAGCGCCTGATGTGATTTTCAAAGTCGTTGAGAAAATAGAGTCCTTGGAATCTACTATTTATGGTATCTACAGTAACGTTGCAAAACATCGCTTTTACATTCCATATAAAATCAGTAATACAAAATTCATGCTATGTTCGTTAACCTTCATAACAATTGGAAGTAGAAATTGATTTTTTAAGAAGTTGTCATATGAATGACGATTATTTTCACTTATCGGAATTTTTTTTACTAGCTTAATAATTTCCTAAAAAAATAATAATGATCTTTTCGAAAGAGCAAATATTTTATTTAATAGGCTATGATTTCGCTTGTCTTTTTATTACAAACCGATAACATCGTGCACTTGCAGAGAAAAAATTTTTTTACGTAATTACGCTCGCTTGCGATCGTTCAAATTTATATTTCCTCCTTGCGTAATTACGAGAAGGAAGGCAGGCAAATGCAGGCAATGGAATCCGTTAAAGGATCGACCACCAAACGGAGGAGATATTTAAGGGTGGGCAAGGAAGTTATGGGCGGTCGAGTATGTTTTCTGTACAGTCTGAAACGCGTGTCGTCGCGCGCGCGTGATTCCGGCAAGGTATGCAGAATGCAACCTTTTCACAGAGAGATATCCAGGCCGTGGCAGAATGTAGTTGGCCGGGGCAGCAGCGGATTTAATGGTCGCTGTTATAAGTTATAACTTTTAAATAACCAGCACCGGTGAGAGAGGAGGGGCCCTCTTCGGCCGGCCGCGGTCGGCGCTGGAAACCAGCTCACCTTGCTTTAACCGATGCGATGAGTTTCGCTCCGCGGCAAATACGTATGCGTACGATCGTCTGCTTTATGCATACAGTGATACGTGTATTCCGATGCGTAATAACGCCGAGAGATTTGGCGAGCGCGATATACAACGCATGTGCCAACCTGAATCCTTGGTTACGCCAGCCGGCTCCCTTTCGCACGTAATTTCCACTGCCCGGATTAATTACCATACTTGGATGACAGAGTTATATTATGGTCGTGATATTAGCGATGGTGTTACGAATTCGAAGTCAAGGATGGGTCTTTCTGTGTACGGATTAATTAGGTCATAGCCGAAGCTATGGTTGTCATATAAATTTTGCGAAACTTCGCATAAATAACTTTAATTGCTCGTAAATAATGACATTTAAGTATAATTTAGGTGTTATCGCAATAATTACTTTGTATTTTATGATAGGCCGACACAGTGTTTCTTTTAAAGGAAAATTACATAGCACTGGAATACTTTGGTTTTTTATAAAAGAAAATTTAAAGCCATTTTTTATTAGAACTTTTATTGATTGTTAGGAATTTGACATATTCTTCTTTGGAAATTAATAAGAGAGTTCTCCGTTCGAGTTCTCGTTTTGAAAATTAATGAAGGCACATTCCGCAGGGGAAGAAATCAGGTATCACTTCCACATTCAGAATCATGCAAACAAGATCATTTGTACATGTAATAGCTGTGTAATGTTCAGGGAGCCAGTTACAATATTGCCCTCTTTATTTTCTGGCGTGTGTAATTTATAAATACCGATCGAGATATGATACCGTTCCTAGTAATGAGATGCCATTTAGTATAATTTCGTATGTAGAACGTAGATTGGGGACACTTCTTGCGCATACGGTAAGCTCGTAGTTAGTTACATAGTTGTTGATTTATACTCAATATTTTCTAATGGGACTTGGTTTGCGATGTATGCGTGCAAACCTGATTGCACGGCGAGATAGAATCCTTTAATAAGATTCATCTCTAGCTTGGCGACGGTCTGACGACAGGTTGCGTTGCGCTGAATAATCGCGTCGCAACCACAGCGTTGCGTACAGTGAAGCTCATAATTTTGTTTGGCGTTCACAGAATGCACATAAAATTTATAATCAAGTCAGATTTTTAACTAACGCGCAAATTTATTTTACCGATATAAATTCCGCAAATAGTTTAGGCATATCTTGCGTTGATTAAATTGTAACACCTTATGTCTTATTTTGCAAGTTAGTGATATCTATATTTTCAGACACACCTTAATACGTTATATATACTTTAAAAATTTTTCAACGATTGAAAATTATAAAATGTTTAATAATATACATTTTTAATAGTGCTCAAACACTTATTACTGATTTTTGAACATAAATTTTATATGAAAAAGTGTCATTTCTATTCAACTTTATTTAATATATTAATTTGGTATAAGCAAGATGAATCAATATTTTTGAATTTTATATGAAATTAGCAATTATCTTCCAGAATTAATGTATCATACATTTTTATTATTATTCCTAATATCCAATCATTTTATGAGACAGATATTACAGTCGTTTCGAAAGTGGATTTTATGATGTATATGAAATTGATGTACCATTTCATGAATTTAAAAATATTGAGAATTAATGACCATTCATTAATTTAGAAATTGATTTTTGCCAGCACCACGAGAAATAATAGTTTCATAAAAAGAACTTTATATTATAGTCATAAAATTACTTAACATAAAGATTTTCGGAATTCGAAAAAATTTCAACAGCCAGCAACATGCTTTTTCGATCCGCGATCAAGTCTATATCTATATTTTTTAAATATTTTACATATTCGCGTAATCAGTGCAGCGACGATAATAAGAACATAATCGCATTTCCAGCGTAATTTTTTCGCATGTTTGTTTTTGTGATTTTTTTTCCGAATATAACCTTCTATTCGCTTAAATTCGATAAACGATCTGCAGGATGATCTTTTTTAATTAATTTTGTACTTTTTTATTGCTCGCCGTTTCACGTAAAATCATTCTATATCGAAATTTGTCTTTTACGCGAATGTCGATCAAGATTCATCGGAATATAGGCAAAGCTTTCTCGGGCGCAATCAGTTGTTTCCGTTAGATGTCGTTTTTGATCTCCCGTGGGATTTATCGCCATATTGTTTACTTTACGCGAGCCGATTCGCATTGTTATCAGCTTTCTATACGTTATTTATATATTTCGGCAAGAGTACGGTGGCGAATGTGTACGGTATCCGATAATGAATATATTACGGAAGCGATCGCGATAAGAGTTGTGATAAAAAGAGGAAATCTTAATTATAAACGCGGGTAGTTGTCGCGAATTATCAACGCATTTAGCGCAAGTTCGCGCTTGGAAATGAAAGATCGCGAAAACAGTTGCACAGTTGTGCACAGAATTTATGTCGAAATCATGGTTGTGTTTTTGTAATCACCGCGATCACACATGTGCATGAAATGTGGAAGAACTTGGACATGGACTCGGACTCTGAAGATCTAGGGCATACTTCGCGGTCGCCGGCTGTTGAGGTTAGGACAGCGGTACATCTTGATTTTCCTAATGCGCGTTGAATTCTGCAGTATACATATATCTGACCAGTTACGAAGGGTAAGTGTTAAATATTAAGTTCTAATTATGATTACGTGTCCGTACATTTTTCATGCTTGAGATAAGAAAGCTGACTAGAAAGTTACAACAGTATTTCGGCTCTATATCTTGGTTTCTCTTTAATTCTGCGTAGCAATTTTGTGTAGCGTATTATTTTTTATTGCAACTTGAAAGAGATGGATTTCAAAATTTCGAAACCTTCAAAGGTATTAAAAATATAGTCAGAATTTTCAACATTTTCCATGAAATGATACGTCACGCTTTACGCATACGTTTTTACATCTAAACAAATAACTGACAAATACTGACGCGTTTCAAAATATAACTCGAATGTTTGACATTTCATTTCCGAGACATAAATGCATCGTGTCAATCTTGCAACAACATTCGTTAGAATTACGAACAGGCGCGCATTTTTCATCGTGATCAGCGTGGGGTTTGCTGGACGTAAATAAAGTTCCGGGGGAATTATGTGAGCCTACTCGTCTTTATTTATCTATTTATCCGGACGTACATAAATATGGCGAGACCGGGTAGGGTTTGTCGACCTTGTGATTGATGGGACATACTATTTTTACGCGGTGTGCGCCACGTATCGTGAAAAGGAGAGAGGAAAAAAGCGGGGATAAGAAACGAGTAGAAGACACCCGTTCTTGATCAGCTGGCCGCCCTCAGCTCTAACAAGAGACAGAAAGAGAAAAGGATATAGGAGGAAAAAAGAAGACTCTTCGGAGTGATTTATCTTGATTTTATTTTTATTGTAGTCAGTCACGCGAAGGTGACGATTTATCGATTTTTCTTTGAGGCGCTCTCGCGATGCAACTCAATATAACAAGCATTATGTGCCGCGTTCGTTTTTTGCGTTCTACGGCGCGACGAGATGTTTGATGACGATACGCGAGAGATATCATTGTCGTTGTTCAGACAGAGGTCATTCATTCTGAAACTGAAACTGCGACGAAATCAAATTTGTCCCTTTCATGCGTTTTGCAGAACAGAGACACAAAAATTCGTGGAACCCACGAGAAAAGAGTTTAAGTGGGTAATAGTATCAGTAATCCACAGCGATTGATAAACGTCAACGACTAATTGAATTTTTCGTCGACAAGTTACCGCTTTGTGAATTCGAGCACGTTTCAATTTAAACGTGTTTCAATTTTGATCTCTCGCGACCCGGCTTTTTTTCACGCGAGAATGTGCCGAAACAATTACTCTCACGCGAATTTAATTTTTCGTCGCGCGGTGGTATTTTTTCCACACCGATAACATATAAAATGTAAGCTACCGATCCTGTATATTTCGAATGTGCAAGTTTTGCCGGTGAGATTTATTTGTGTCTCGTTCGAACAGCGCAGGCGAATAATTAGTGGCGTAGCGAATAAGCGACGAGTTTTTTTTTGGCTTATCGACCGCAAAGTTGAACGAAATGCTCCGCGCGTTTTGCAAAGCTAGCCGACAAAACTAGTAAAATTAGTTTCGTGATGTTAAATGCAGTATGTTTTGCATATTCACTTATTAAAAATTATGTGGAATTATTGCGTTAGGGTAATTTTAAAAGTTTAAGTATGGAGATGGCACAAATCAGTTTATAAATTTTGTGTATTATATTAGTAACAAAACGCGCGTTTTGCATCCGCAGATATTAATTTCTTTATTCCTGTTTGCAATATTAAATAGAACGTGAATTTCTTATTCATCACAATGATGGCAGAAAGAGGTTCGGTTAAAATACATAGGTAAATGTCTGCAGAGAGTGGAGATAAATTATAGAAACAGGAAGCTGAAGAAGGCTGCCGGCAAGCTGTTGCACTCACAATGCTGCCCCTCCCTTCCGGCTTTATATTTACTTCAATATGGCTTTGAGTACTTTTGCCCGTTTCGTATCTACTCCGCGATTAAATATTCAATATCCCCGTTTGTAACTGCAACGGTAGAAAACTGTAAATTTTCGCGTATAAACTTGTGCGTTTTACAAATGTACTTTTCTGTACGACCATTGACAACAGATCTCGTATGAATTATTATCGAAATAAAATATTTATTATGATTGAAGGCGTGGAACATTTCCATCACAAATTTTCGCGCGTTGACTCAATAGGCTATCGAGATAACTGAATCAGAATATTAGAATACAGCGATTGAGATGAATAAAAATGTATTCGATATTATGAGAAAATGTTCCCTTCTCGTTTTCTCAAAAATTTGATTAGAAAAGAACAAATTGCAGAGTATCTTCGCAAGCACGATCGTCTTCACGATCGTCATCTTTACAGGCGCAACCGCGGCACAATCACAGCTCTAAATAGACGGGAACATGAGACGACTGAGAGAGAGAGAGAGAGAGAGGGGGGGAAAGAAGGGCCGAGTGAGCGCGAAACATTTCACATTTCATAGTACTCTAAATCTTTCGAGTTCGTCACGAGAGAAGGGAAGCGGCCAGCCCCTTTCTTCTCTTCTCTCGTTGTGCATAGCTAGCGCAGCCGTAGGTCGAGATCTCACTTTGCCCGTGCGTTGAAGCGCTCTTCAAGTTACACTATATCTGCGCCACTTCGCTACGAGGGTTTTGAGACGGCTTGTACATACAGGGGCGCTCTCGTCTTCCGTTACCTGACACTACCCGTCGCTACGGGAGAATTGCCGGGACTCCGAAGGGGGCAACTTCTCCCCTCCTTCCGCGCTACTTCCTACGCTAACGTTACGTCGCTATCGCGGTCCTTCTGACAGCGGCATCTGCGCTCGACGAGTCGGTTCGGCCTATCGAGGCCTCTCGTCTCTCGTCATAATGCGTCGTTTCGCTACGCGCAGTCACCACTGCGAGTTGCGTCGCGAGATATAAGGGTAACGTCCTGTCTGTACCCAGTCCTTTTCGTCCTGTTCTCCACCGCGGAAACTTGCTAAAAGCTGACGCGAAATGAGGGCTCATTGTCGCGACGAGAATGCCTGGAAATGAGATTTCGCCAACTTTTCTGACGTTACGCGCACCGGGCTCGCGGGAATTGCACGTTAATCGTCTGACCGAGACTGCCGTTTGGCGAAAGTGAAAAGATAGCGTTGTTAGAACGAAATTGAAATATGTAATGTGAGGAGGAAACAGAGAACTCTGGTGCAATTTTTGGTTATATATTTTTCAGCAATTATTTCCACAAAAATTTCGATCATACTTGCATGAAATAATTTTATGACACTTGCGTTATAATTCTACAAATAAAAATGAATGAATAATACTCAATTTTTTTTGATAAAGTATACAAAGTTCTATTTTTTTAATGATTTTCCAAAATTTGTAAAATAACAACAAGCTTGCTCTATTGTGACAAAATTTTTAAAGCATGATTCATAATGCACTTGAAGCAAACAGCCCAATTAAAACAGGCAAAAGCGAGTTTACATGCATGGCATCATACGAGTTTTCCTCAGCGGAGATTGCATGAGTGCTCCTAGTGGAAATTGGGCGTGCGTATGGGTCTAAAGCCTCTAAGCCTCCGGTAGAAAGGCCGGTAAAGGATGAATGCCTAGGCTCTCTTACACGAAGCAGGTATATTCACATAATACGAAAGCGATGCCCGATCCGGGTCGGGGATTAGCCGGTCCGCTGTGATCCAGCAAATTAGTCTACCTAGCTTGACAGTCAGCTGTCTTATTTAGCAAAATAATTCGGAGTGCATGGAATCCAGCGGAATAGAAATATTTTCGTTCTCTAACAAAACTGCATTGCGCAAAAATCGATAGAGTAAATAAATTGTCAGAATTGTTTTGCTATTTTGCGACTTGCGAATTATTCAGATGCTTGTAAAAATATTGCACAGATTTATAAAATTTATTAATATTCATTTTAATTCGAATATCGGAATTTGAGTCATTATTTATGGAAAAGTATTTGCACATAGTCATGTGGTGAAAATGCGAATCTCAAAGAAATATCTCTCTCTCTTGTATGTTACACGCGTGTACGACGAGGGAGGTAGTTCGCGGAAGAAATATGAGAGGAATGTCGTAAAAGTTAAAATTATGCCGGCTACCGTGCGTATATAAACGAAGAGAGATGATACCTTAGGTGCATGTAAATACTCAAACAAGATGGGTTGCTTGTGTCCTATATAGTCCACTGAGACTCGAAGAATTCGCAAAAGAATCTCACGGGGGGGGGAGGGTGGAGGAAGGCATAAAATTCGAAGTTAGAGTCACGCTGATACTTTAGGAAAAGGACAGTTAAAGGCGGTTAATCTAGAAAAATTTATCCATGTTTCGAGATATCTCAATTTATGACGTTTTTATTCAAATTTGATCATTTTATAATTGAGAAATTATCGCAATTTAAGCAAAAATATTTTTTTCTTCCTCCAATTAAGAATCTTATTAGGTATAGCATCGAAAGGAAGATGCAAAGTGAACAATTGGTGTGTATATCTGATTTTCCGTAATCAATCGTCTTTATACCACATCATCAAGTTCCTTGATATATTAATCGAGCCCGATCTTCTCTTTACATTTACGACGGTGCTTTATGACGCACAAAATGACGCAGGATAGGGCGAGAAAACGCGGCTCAAAGTTTATTGACCTTCATCCCTTTCGTACACACAGCCCTTCCCTTCTGCGTTCGACGTACCTTCGAACCTGCCTACCTACCGGCGAAATGACGCCCGACTTGCTTTACACACGATGCACGTATAGACGGTATCGGTAAAAAACGTGCTCGGGATTACACGGGAGGGCTCAAGTCGGCGGCGTCGGTAAACAGAGAGTTTTATCACGAACGAGTACTTTCCCTGGAAAATTGCTCCACCAATTTGATAGCGGCCCGAGAGTCTCGTTACTCGCGCGAGCACTCGGGGATCGGATACGCGAGCAAACAAGAAAAATGTCTGGTTGCGAGAAGATCGTTTCCAGACTGCTTCCGACTTGCATTTTCTCGATCGGATCGCGAAACTTCGGGGCCGTTAAAGATAAAAAGAAAAATCCATGCCATGTAATATGAAATACATAAGAAAATCATATGT